GATGCAAGTGAAGACTGTAGAAGAGGAGGTAATTAGTCCCTCAGCCTCGTAGAATTATATACAGAAGATACCCAGATGTTGCACATGTGTCTGCAAGATACCCAGATGTTGCATATGTGTCTACAAGATACCCAGATGTTGCACACGTGTCTACAAGATACCCAGATGTTGCACATGTGTCTACAAGATACCCAGATGTTGCAACAACGTGTCTACAAGATACCCAGATGTTGCACACGTGTCTGCAAGATACCCAGATGTTGCACATGTGTCTACAAGATACCCAGATGTTGCACATGTGTCTACAAGATACCCAGATGTTGCACACGTGTCTACAAGATACCCAGATGTTGCACATGTGTCTACAAGATACCCAGATGTTGCACACGTGTCTACAAGATACCCAGATGTTGCACATGTGTCTACAAGATACCCAGATGTTGCACATGTGTCTACAAGATACCCAGATGTTGCACATGTGTCTGATTCACCTTCTTGTAGGTACTGGGTACCATTAATATATTACAGACACTTGTGTCTGCCGGCAGCAGCAAGTTCCGTCTAAGACTTTTCTTTCGACCTTCCTCCTTCCTAACTGCCTTCTGCCTGCCACTGCCACTTTCAACAGTAAATAAAGACTTTTACTGCCCGATAGCACCCTTACCCCTCTTTTTAGGCCTCCTAAAAATCTTAGGCTCTGCGAAAATGTGCGAGTGGAAAAATGGTAGCAAGTAGGCCTAGCTCAACCATTTTTTTTTTTTTGTAGTCTCGGGTTTTACTGTTGCGAGAAGAGCTTTTAGTTTCCCCTGGCATCAGGCCTATTAAAAGGCGTTAAAAAAATGGTAGAATATAGGTCTGGCCTGGTCTAACCAGCCTTTTTTTGGTCTTGTTTTATGAGGGACTTTATGCGGGGCATAAAACAATGCAAATTTTAAAAAGCCAACGTGACAGATGACTGGAACGGATATTTCCTTCAGTCAGTCAGGCTTAAAGTCTTGAGACTGTAAGTTATTAAGGCTGATAGTCATCTGTTAATGACGTATGTTTATTTAGGTACAGTACACATAAACGTAGTTACAGAAATTATTATACATAGTAACACTGTGTGTGTAAATTACCCACTAGGGTAGTCCCCCCCCCCCTTTAAAAAAATTCAAAGTGACTTATTACAACTGGAGTCCAAGAACACGTTAATTCATGTTGAAAATGGTATAAAATGCTGATTAGTTGAAGATTAAGACACATGTGCAACAGTTGGATATCTTTATTGATGACATGTCTCGCCTACACAGCAGGCTTCTCCAGTCACACACATGGTCTGGAATGACATCGTTCCAGACCATGGAGCTGAACTCTTCTCCTGGCTGCCGGACTGACCATTTCAGATACTTTTTTTTCCATGGTTGATGGACTGATTATATCAATTTTTTTCACTACTACTACTGCCGCTTCTGTATTTGACTGAAGAAGCCTATTGTGTAGCCGAAACATTTCAACAATAAAGACACCCAACTGTTGCATATGTGTCTTAATCTTCAAGTCAATCCAGGAAGCGTAGATTTATGAAATGTTTTGATACCGTCAAGATGTGGGAAAAGACACTTTGTGTCTTATTTGAGGTAATATCTCTTATAAGCCGACCAGCCTGCCACGCCTATGTCATACCCCCCCCCCCCACCCTCAACCCATCCCTCCCCTACATCCCACCCAACAGTACCGCCCTGGTATCAGCCTACCCGCACTATCAGGTCAACTAACCTAAACCCATTAGATACGGGCAGACAAGCACCACATTACCACAGCCTCCCCCTTCCTCCCCCTCCCCCATCTTCCCCTTTCCCCATCCTCCCCTTCCCCAGAATGTGACTTTCTTTTAAGTTTAAGATGTATAAGACAAACCAAAACTCATCTATGTGAAGAAGAATATATGGGGATAATACGAGGAGATGGGTGTAGATTTCAGTGTGGATAACTCAGAATAAATCCTCTCTCTACCTATCCTCCCTCCCCCCCCCTCTCTCTCTCTCTCTCTCTCTCTCTCTCTCTCTCTCTTCTCTCTCTTCTCTCTCTCTCTCTCTCTCTCTCTCCTCTCTCTCTCTCTCTCTCTCTCTCGTCTCTCTCTCTCTCTCTCTCTCTCTCTCTCTCTCTCCACACCGCCAGGCTGGTAGACCCACACCGCCAGGCTGGTAGACCCACACCGCCAGGCTGGTAGACCCACACCGCCAGGCTGGTAGACCCACACCGCCAGGCTGGTAGTCCCACACCGCCAGGCTGGTAGTCCCACACCGCCAGGCTGGTAGTCCCACACCGCCAGGCTGGTAGTCCCACACCGCCAGGCTGGTAGTCCCACACCGCCAGGCTGGTAGTCCCACACCGCCAGGCTGGCATCCTAGTGACAGTCCACTAGATCCATTACGAAATCTCAAAATAATGACTATGATTAAGCAACATCTCGCCCTTACATGGATCCAAAACAACGTACTTCTAACTACAAGGAAAGAAACGTAGATATTACCAAGACAACGATGGTACTACAGTCCCCATCTACAAGTCTAACAGTGGTATAAACCTTGGTAATAAATACCGACAAGTTGGTTTAGAAAGACACGTAAGCAAACACTATAACATTTATTAGAAAACGTTTCGGTCCTGGGACCTTGATCACTTCTAACATACAGAGGTAGAAAGACATTATATATATAGGCAGAGAGTGAGATGTGACGCACGTGACCTGAGGAATGTCATAAGAACATAAGAATGGAGAAACACTGTAGAAGGCCTACTGGCCCATGCGAGGCAGGTAGAGGTTGTTTTGATAAAGACCTGCCTCGCATGAGCCAGTAGGCCTTCTACAGTGTTCCTCCATTCTTGTGTTCTTATGACATTCCTCAGGTCACGTGCGTCACACCTCACTCTCCGCCTATATATATAATGTCTTTCTACCTCTGTATGTTAGAAGTGATCAAGGTCCCAGGACCGAAACGTTTTCTAATAAATATGTTACAGTGTTTGCTTACGTGTCTTTCTAAACCAACTTGTCGGTATTTATTACCAAGGTTTATACCACTGTTAGACTTGTAGATGGGGACTGTAGTACCATCGTTGTCTTGGTAATATCTACGTTTCTTTCCTTGTAGTTAGAAGTACGTTGTTTTGGATCCATGTAAGGGCGAGATGTTGCTTAATCATAGTCATTATTTTGAGATTTCGTAATGGATGTCGTAATGGATCTAGAGGACTGTCACTAGGATGCCAGCCTGGCGGTGTGGGTCTACCAGCCTGGCGGTGTGGGTCTACCAGCCTGGCGGTGTGGGTCTACCAGCCTGGCGGTGTGGGTCTACCAGCCTGGCGGTGTGGGACTACCAGCCTGGCGGTGTGGGACTACCAGCCTGGCGGTGTGGGTCTACCAGCCTGGCGGTGTGGGACTACCAGCCTGGCGGTGTGGGACTACCAGCCTGGCGGTGTGGGACTACCAGCCTGGCGGTGTGGGACTACCAAGTCTAACAGTATTAGCCAGGATCACAGCCTCTACCCAGTGCCACATCAACCTGGCTGTGATAGACACACGGGCCAGTGGGACGCCAACTGCCTGGTTGACCAGGCAAGCACCAGAAAGACTTAAGAACATAAGAAAGGAGCACTGCAGAAAGCCTACTGGCCCATGCTAGGAAGGTCGAAGTCACTTAATGGCCCAAGTTACTGGCCGAAGCCAGTAGGGTCCAGGTCAGGCAGTAGGACTGACCAGTTACCTGTAGCCACAGGTAACTGGTCAGTCACTACATGGAATTTTAACTCACGGGAGACACTACCATGCTCCTAAACCTTTACAAATGACTTGATAAAGTTTGCATAGCGAAACATGACTTGATAAAGCTGGTACAGTGAAACATGACTTTATAAAGCTCGTACAGAGTGAAACATGACTTTATAAAGCTCGTACAGAGTGAAACATGACTTGATAAAGCTGGTACAGAGTGAAACATGACTTTATAAAGCTGGTACAGTGAAACATGACTTTATAAAGCTGGTACAGAGTGAAACATGACTTGATAAAGCAGTACTTGGACCTGATACGATGAAATTCGTGAACATTAAAATGGTATAAAATACCGACAGGTTGTTAGGTAAGACACATATGCAACAGTTAGGTATCTTTATTTCGAAACGTTTCGCCTACACAGTAGGCTTCTTAAGTCGAGTACAGAAAAGTTGATAGAAGCAGAAGATACTTGAAGACGATGTAATCAGTCCATCACCCTTAAAGTTTTGAGGTGGTCAGTCCCTCAGTCTGGAGAAGAGCATTGTTCCGTTGTCTGAAACAATATGAAGTTGACAACGGAACAATGCTCAGACAACGGAACAATGCTCTTCTCCAGACTGAGGGACTGACCACCTCAAAACTTTAAGGGTGATGGACTGATTACATCGTCTTCAAGTATCTTCTGCTTCTATCAACTTTTCTGTACTCGACTTAAGAAGCCTACTGTGTAGGCGAAACGTTTCGAAATAAAGATACCTAACTGTTGCATATGTGTCTTACCTAACAACCTGTCGGTATTTTATACCATTTTAATGTTGGACCTGCCTAAATGGGCCAGCAAACCTGCCTAGATGGACCAACAAACCTGCTTGGATGGACCAGAATCCCCACGCCATTATCACTGTCAATGACGTGATCAAGGTCAAAGTTATGACTCGACGTGTTGTCATATTTCAAGACACTACACACATCAACTCAAGGCTGGGGGGACTGATTACCTCAAAACAACTCCTCATCTTCCACCGTTCTTCTCTGTTTTGGACTGAAGACGCCACTGGGTAGCGAAACGTTTCCAGAATAAAGATTTCCAAATGTAACCCAAGTGTGTCAATTATCAACCTGTCGCCTTTTTAAACCATTTATACAGAGGCAGGCAACCCTAAGAAAGGACATTATCTATCATCCGCTCCCTAGGTATCCCGACTTGACAAAATAACTGAAGAGCAACTGCGTTTCTTACCTTAATTTCTTCAGCACTAACAGAATAGTCAGTGTAGTAAGCGAGGAGGTCAACTGAGAGGGGCCGGCTTTGTCGTAGCTTGGAGGCCAGCAGGAGACACACGGATCCCAGCAACTGGAGCTGGGTTCTCTGTACCACACACGAACACAGGAACCTGTCCAGGAAGTTGATGGCTACCACCAGAACCCTGTCCTCGCAGGCTTGCTCTTCACATACCTGTGGACACACCACGAAAAGGTTTAAGGCTATTTAGGCACAGATACACCTAAATACAATTTCAGTACTGTAAATTAGCCTAATGTAACCCCCCCAAAAAGGTCAGACTTGTTTCCACTGGGTGTTAGGATTGCGTTTATAATTTTTGATTATTTGATTATGAGATTAAATGATCACTGGATGAAAACTTTTACTACGTATATTCGACGTGGGAATGTTTAAAGAAAGTGATGGAAGGTCCAAGTCCAGGTCCAAGCACCTTAATTAACTACTGGGAACGCTTGGAAGCACTTGACTTGTACTCGTTGGAACGCAGGAGGGAGAGATATATCATAATCTACACTTGGAAAATCTTGGAAGGAATGGTCCCAAATCTGCACACAGATATCACTCCCTATGAAAGTAAAAGACTGGGCAGGCGATGCAAAATGCCCCCAATAAAAAGTAGGGGCGCCATTGGTACACTAAGAGAAAACACCATAAGTGTCCGGGGCCCAAAACTGTTCAACAGCCTCCCATCAAGCATTAGGGGAATTGCCAATAAACCCCTGGCTGCCTTCAAGAGAGAGCTGGACAGATACCTAAAGTCAGTGCCGGATCAGCCGGGCTGTGGCTCGTACGTCGGACTGCGTGCGGCCAGCAGTAACAGCCTAGTTGATCAGGCCCTGATCCATCGGGAGGCCTGGTCGTGGACCGGGCCGCGGGGGCGTTGATCCCCGGAATAACCTCCAGGTAGGTCCAGGTCCAGGTAAGGTTGACTGTGGTAACCAGACTTCTGGGTGAGTTGTAGGGGAGGGAAGTGGTGAGGGAGAGGGGATGGGGATGGTGTGAAGGATGATGGTGGTGAAGCAAACTCTAACACAATGTTCCATCAATTCGTAACTGAATCGCGTGTTTGGACACACTTGATCGTCAAGTCTGTCGCCGGTGATTCCCTCACATTACTCTCGAAAACACATGATGATGGAACGTAGAATACTTTAGTACAAGACAACGGAGCTTTCTTTAGGCATATTTAAAAATTATACTGAATACTACAAAAAGAATCAACGTCGCCTTATTCTTTGATAATTTTAAAAGCCTATCCTACACTACGTCTTCCCAGTTTGTTAGAAGACAGTCTGAGAAGCCTATGGTAGATGCCAGTTACTGCTACGCTGCTACTTCCTTGCTAAGATGTATGCGCCTGGTCCCACAGGCAGCCAAGAAATTGATACCTTCTTAGAAAAATATTTGAGGAAATCCCCTAGGACATTTGGCAACCCAGGGAGACCCCAAGGAATCAGTGGTTAACACCTTATCTTCCAAGTTACTCTATTCTTTATTTCATTTATTTTGATAAATTAATGAATATATATATCTGAAGGTCCTTAATATCATGTTTCAATAAAAAGATTTGATACTTATTTGTCTATTAAGATAATTTACCGCCAGACTCCACTATAACGAGGGATAAATCACCTCAAACATCAGGTTCACTTCCTCTCACTATGGAAGGTCTGAGGTCCGCGGTCAAACATGCATGTCAGCCCTCGCCAACCTTAATCGTCGCCTCTATAACTCTCTTACCCAAGTTCTAAAGCAGCAAAACCCTCACCAGGCGAGCTTACAGCTATATGCCTTCAAGAAGGGATGCTGAGGCAGATGACCTAAATTTCCAAGACATTTAAAAGTGCTTGCTAAGGGCGTAATCTTTTGTTCACAATATAGTTTGGACGAGCCTGGCCCAAGACCGAGCTCCAGGAGTAGAAAAACTCAGGAAACTCATCAGCGGTACCTATGTGGTGGGGAAGTGTTCCTACAAGCAAAAAACGGAATACAACTATTGTGGCTCCTTGGGTTATATCCCGTCCTTTTGAACGTGAGATCAGAAACTGGGAAGGATACTCTGTGTTGACAATAGATCAGGGAACAAATATTAGATAAAACTGCTAGTGTTTCCTAGTAAATCAAAAGCAGATATTTTTTTTCTATATCTGCAAATACCTACTAAGAATTTATAATAAGAGAACACGAATTTGGGTTTAGAACATGAACATAAGAAAAAAGGAACACTGCAGCAGACCTACTGGTCCATGCGAGGCAGGTCCAAGTCTCCTACCGGCTTAAGCCAATGCCCTAACCTAGTCAGGTCACGTCAGGTCAGGTCACATTCACTTAAGGAAAGAGCACGGCATCTAACCTAGCAGCACAAGCTAGTTCAGTTATCAGTTATGTTACCAAGGCAGCACTGTCCCAGCAAGACTTAACTCTGAACACAGGGATCAGTCCTCTCTGAACACAGGGATCAGTCCTCTCTGAACACAGGGATCAGTCCTCTCTGAACACAGGGATCAGTCCTCTCTGAACACAGGGATCAGTCCTCTCTGAACACAGGGATCAGTCCTTTCTGAACACAGGGATCAGTCCTCTCTGAACACAGGGATCAGTCCTCTCTGAACACAGGGATCAGTCCTCTCTGAACACAGGGATCAGTCCTCTCTGAACACAGGGATCAGTCCTCTACGAACACAGGGATCAGTCCTCTCTGAACACAGGGATCAGTCCTCTCTGAACACAGGGATCAGCCCTCTCTGAACACAGGGATCAGTCCTCTACGAACACAACCGGTCAGGATGAATGAAATAAACTTTGATTCTACGTAAGTTCCAAATAGGAAATTGTGTATATCTACGTAATTTTAAGCTTGAACTAGGGTTGAAGCTGTGACGTTAATAAATATCGAATATGTCAAGCGTACTGAAGAATATGGAAGGTCATGTTGGTAGGGGATAACACAAAACAGCCGAGGGAAGAGGAACATTAAAATGGTATAAAATACCGACAGGTTGTTAGGTAAGACACATATGCAACAGTTAGGTATCTTTATTATGAAACTTTAAGGGTGATGGACTGCTTACATCGTCTTCAAGTATCTTCTGCTTCTATCAACTTTTCTGTACTTGACTGAAGAAGCCTACTGTGTAGGCGAAACGTTTCATAATAAAGATACCAAACTGTTGCATATGTGTCTTACCTAACAACACACAGAGGGAAGAGGAGGCGGTATCTTCTTTTATCGTAATTTAGTTTTTAAGGTGATCCGCACTTATTTAGCTTCAAGAAGGAAACTTTTCACTGGGTAACCAAATTTTAGGCCAAATGTAACTGGGAGTCTAAAGGTTTGGATTCCTTGTAATAGATACAAGAATCCCAATGGAAATGAGTCACTGTCTGACTTTATTGGGTCATCCTCTTAGGTAATTTACACATAAGTTACTATGTATGATAATGTACTTACGTGTACCTGTAACTAAATAATCTTAAACAAACACAAAGTCATTTCCGCTTAGCCAACACTATCCTACTAACTCCGAACTTTAAAAAAAAAGTAGTGTCAAATATCTCTAAGTTGGGACATAAGGATGAGATTTGCAGGATGTGGTGAGAAGTGTTGACAATTACCATGTAGTTACCCCTGCTAGTCCGTCTGGTTCTAATCTAACCACTCCCAGATACAAGATAAAAATTAATTAATGTACAGGCATCACATTCTCTTATCACTGTTAGTTGGACACAAAATAAGTTCTGAGCATATATATATATCTAATAATAATGTAGGTAGCCAAGGAATTGGTTAGAGAGGAAGTGTGGTGAGGCCGGAGGTTCAACCAGGGTACACGGTCGTGGGTTTAGGGTCCGACTGGCCTGCTCAGGTCTGAGGCATTAGGTCTCAGATTACCAGAATTTCCTGTCTTAAGGAACGCGCTGTACAACACCTTAAATAACGAAAAGCTGGATTTCATCACACTGAAAAACGATATATGTGAACAAGAACTTACTGAAATACCATCTTAGTCTTACTATCTGCCTAATTAATTAAACTATGGAATTAAATAACTGAGGAGCACTACAGTTAGCCTACTGGCTTCTGTGGGAGTAATGTCACTTACGCAACACTGAAGATATAGGTAAATTGGACACGCACAGGGTTTTGAATATTCCAAATAGGCTCGCTCACAGGAACCTTTATCAACAGCTATGTTGAACAACAGGACAGAACACATATAAAGCAAGCCAAAAGTTGCCTTAATAAAATATTTAGAAGTTTTTTGGAGTCATTTTCCCTAAATCGATTGTCGATATATTACGATATATTATTTGGATACTTTTCGTTCGCTATGGACTTTTCCAATCCAATGGACTGACAAAAAAAAAAAAAACCTCAGTGAAATGCTCTAGTCTAAGCAGTACATACATGTCTGTTTCAGTTTTTGGGTGACGTACCAAGTAACATGTTTAGGTAAGACACATATGCAACAGTTAGGTATCTTTATTTCGAAACGTTTCGCCTACACAGTAGGCTTCTTCAGTCGAGTACAGCAAAGTTGATAGAAGCAGAAGAGACTTGAAGACGATGTAATCAGTCCATCACCCTTAAAGTTTTGAGGGACTGAGGGAGTGAGGGACTGACCACCTCAAAACTTTAAGGGTGATGGACTGATTACATCGTCTTCAAGTCTCTTCTGCTTCTATCAACTTTTCTGTGCTCGACTGAAGAAGCCTACTGTGTAGGCGAAACGTTTCGAAATAAAGATACCTAACTGTTGCATATGTGTCTTACCTAACAACCTGTCGGTATTTTATACCATTTTATTGTTCACCAAGTAACATGCACTAGGTATATTCTACTCCTCAGCCACTCATCTGTCCTGTCTCCTGACGAACCTAACCTCACCTACCTTCCCCTTGTTACCAGTTTTCAACAAGTACTGATCTTATTACTCAAGTGATTATTATAACAAACTTAAAGGTATTATATTTCTCGAGACAGATGAGGCAAAAATCTGCCTATCTTATGTTCATAATAACATACCCTACGTTCCTAAGAACATACATATGTTCATAAGAACATACCCTTTGTTCATAAGTAACAACCCTATGTTCATAAGAACATACCCTATGTTCATAAGAACATACCCTATGTTCAAAGAACATACCTATGTTCATAAGAACATACCCTATGTTCATAAGAACATACCCTATGTTCATAAGAACATACCTATGTTCATAAGAACATATCCTATGTTCATAAAACATACCCTATGTTCATAAGAACATACCCTATGTTCATAAGAACATACCCTATGTTCATAAGAACATACCCTATGTTCATAAGAACATACCCTATGTTCATAAGAACATACCCTATGTTCAAAGAACATACCCTATGTTCATAAGAACATACCCTATGTTCATAAGAACATACCCTATGTTCATAAGAACATACCCTATGTTCATAAGAACATACCCTATGTTCACAAGAACATACCCTATGTTCATACATAGAAGAACATACCCTATGTTCACAAGAACATACCCTATGTTCATAAGAACATACCATATGTTCATAAGAACATACCCTATGTTCATAAGAACATACCCTATGTTCATAAGAACATACCCTATGTTCATAAGAACATACCCTATGTTCATAAGAACATACCCTATGTTCATAAGAACATACCCTATGTTCATAAGAACATACCCTATGTTCATAAGAACATACCCTATGTTCATCAAGAACATACCCTATGTTCATAAGAACATACCCTATGTTCACAAGAACATACCCTATGTTCATAAGAACATAACCTATGTTCACAAGAACATACCCTATGTTCACAAGAACATAACCTATGTTCATAAGAACATACCTATGTTCACAAGAACATACCCTATGTTCATAAGAACATAACCTATGTTCACAAGAACATACCCTATGTTCATAAGAACATAACCTATGTTCACAAGAACATACCCTATGTTCATAAAACATAACCTATGTTCACAAGAACATACCCTATGTTCATAAGAACATACCTATGTTCACAAGAACATACCCTATGTTCATAAGAACATACCCTATGTTCATAAGAACATACCTATGTTCATAAGAACATACCCTATGTTCACAAGAACATACCCTATGTTCATAAGAACATACCCTATGTTCACAAGAACATACCCTATGTTCATAAGAACATACCCTATGTTCATAAGAACATACCTATGTTCACAGAACATACCCTATGTTCACAAGAACTACCCTATGTTCATAAGAACATACCTATGTTCATAAGAACATACCCTATGTTCATAAGAACATACCCTATGTTCATAAGAACATACCCTATGTTCATAAGAACATACCCTATGTTCATAAGAACATACCCTATGTTCATAAGAACATACCCTATGTTCATAAGAACATACCTATGTTCAAAGAACATACCCTATGTTCATAAGAACATAACCTATGTTCATAAGAACATACCCTATGTTCATAAGAACATAACCTATGTTCATAAGAACATACCCTATGTTCATAAGAACATAACCTATGTTCATAAGAACATACCCTATGTTCATAAGAACATAACCTATGTTCATAAGAACATACCCTATGTTCACAAGAACATACCCTATGTTCATAAGAACATAAGTATGATTCAATAAGTACATACTATTTACTCAACTAGAACTTCAACCTATTTGAAAGAAAATAACTGTGTTCATAGGCCTACAACCCACGTTATAGGTTCTATCGAACACACCCTATTCTCAAAAATAACTATTTCTAAAGACATAAAGCCAGTGCAGCAATCAATATTGACAATGCCATCTTACCAAACAGACTTGAGCCTAAACTTCACGTAGATTTGAACCTAAAAAAAAAGCTCGTGTTAAGCAGGCCACTAGCCCACATAGAGTTCACTCCAACACTAGTAATTTCAACCATAAAGGTGCATAGACACCGAGTGCCAGCAAATGCACGTTCTTTACCGAAACAGCTATGGACGTAAACTCTACCACATGGGTGGGATTAACCCGCGGTAGTGTCTGCAGAACGTCCCTTACGATTTCGTTAGCATGGACCATCTTAGCACTAAGAATGTCTCAACTAGATAAATTCGTCAACAAGGAGGGTTACACAACGACGGTCACACAAAGTGCAAGATTTTTACAGAACGAAGTCTCCAGCTACGTTGCTTGTAAAGAACTAACCTTTTAGTCCAACTCTGAATTTCAGCGGGTTAAATCCCGTTCGTAGGTACGGTAATTACTTGTCATCGTGGTCATTACGATTTGTGAGCAGACTACTTTATCTTATTCGCTAAATATTGGTGTGACTAGTTTCAGAGGTTAAGAGGGTCACTCACGGGGGTCTAACAAGTTCTGGGACGAGTGAAATAGTGTAATGCAAACATGGTTGTCAGTCCACAGGGGCCCCCTGGTGCTTGGGGTAAATGTAACTCCTTTGGATTCCCCCTGCTGAATATTACTATCTGACACGTTGAACGATAAAAAAAAAAATTCCACGTATTTACGTAGACCAGAACCTAAATTACTTGTATATAGTGGTACAGTATCATGACAGGTTGTATCACACACGTATCACACACGTATCACACTTACTTCTAACATCCATCTGGTGATGACTTTGCGCATATATGGTTGGATGTCACTCTGGATGTGTTTGAAGTAGTTCTGTGGAGGTACATTAAATAGCTGTAACTGCATCATGTTGTCCAGTACCCTGGCGTCCCTGGTGAGTGTCGGGTCCTCACTGGCTATAGTCTCCTCTGGGCACGTGGGCACCTCTGAGCAATACAGCTCCATGCCTGACACTTGTGCCCTCCTAGAAACCTGCTGTGACTCTAGTTCAAATTATGAACAAGAGCCGGATTTCGTATCACATAAGCCGTCCTCCAGGTGGTAATCCTCAGGCTTGACGTACCAGGCTGAGGAGGAGTCCTAGCACTGACCAACTTGTAACTCAATAAGTAAGGGTGTAATACACCTTATATTTCAAAGTCAGGTACACTAGCACTGTTGCTTTACTATTAAGTCACTGATAATTATGAAGAACACTCTCTAAACACGATGTCACAGGAGTAATGTAAGGTTATGGTATAATCCAGGAGTATGTGTGGACCAGAGTAGCGTGTGCTGAGGTGCGGAGCGAGCCAGAGCAACGTACACTCACGCAGCTCGTCTACACAACACTGAATAGCGACCACCCAGCACCAGCAGCTGCTACTCCAGCAAACGTGTTGCCAGATGCTGCTGCCGCCGCCGCCGTCGTCGCCGCCGCCGCAGCCGCCACCGCCACCGCAGCCGCCGTCGCCGCCGACATTAAATAGTGTCATCGTTCTACCTACTAGCCTCAGATATTAAGCAAAGAAACAGCGTCACGTAGCAAATATTCATGCATTAGTATTACTAATATTAGTCAAGTCTCAGGGTGCAGCGGACCATTCAGTTTTTCTCGGGATGTTGATGTATAATGTACAGTGACAAATAAATAGGCCTACCTCTTTATAAAGACGAATATCACCTCTCCATTAAACTCCATCTTAAAATAATTTTGTATATATATACATATATATATATATATATATATATATATATATATATTATATATATATTTAATATATATATATATATATATATATATATATATATATATATATATATATATATATATATATATATATATATATATATTTATATAGTTTAAAAAAAAACGTAAGCAAAACACTATAACATATTTATTAGAAAACGTTTCGGTCCTGGGACCTTGATCACTTTTAACATACAGAGGTAGGAAGACATTATATATAGGCGGAGAGTGAGGTGTGACGCACGTGACCTGAGGAATGTCATAAGAACATAAGAATGGAGGAACACTGTAGAAGGCCTACTGGCCCATGCGAGGCAGGTCCCCATCAAAAACAACCTCCGCCCATGATGAGGACGGGCAGACGATGAAATCATGTGACTCCTGTGTTGTTGGGTTGGTGGTGCTTAAGTATCATGTATGCCAATGTTTTTGAAATTTTGTAGTTTTCCAGTTGTTGCGTTCTATAGTGTCGGTGACGGCGATTAGTGAGGCTTCTAGGCACCGTCGGCGTCTGAGGTCTGGTTCGGTGAGAACGAGTTGTGCCTCATTCCAGTTCATCAAATGTCCCGTGGAGTCTCTGTGGAGGACACAGGCGTACCTTACATCGTCTCTGTTAGAGGCATTTCGATGCTCATTCAGGCGGACTGCAAGATCTCTGCCTGTCTCACCTACATATTTCTTGGGACAGAACCCACAGGGGATAGTGTAGACGCCTGCTGTAGAAGTTAGAGGTGTGGGGCTACGTTTCGTAGTGAGGTCTTTGATAGGTGATGTGTTTATGGTGGAAACGTTGATGTTACTCATAGTAAGTGCCCTGCGAGTATTCGTGGCAACATCGCCACATGGGAGTACTATGAACTGCTTAGGGGACTGTTCCATGGGCGGTTTGTGGAGGATAGCTTGTGCCTTGAGTCTGCCAATCTGGATGAAGGAAAGATGGGAACTGAAGACGTGTAAAGGCTTGTGTTATGTAAGTGCATTCTTCTTCTAGAAAACAAGGGCTGGAGATGCGAAGAGCTCTCAAGAAGAAGCCAATGAGGACTCCTCTCTTAGTGCGGGTGTCTTGGTGTGAATAAAAGTGTATAAGATCGTCCTTGTTGGTAGGTTTTCTATACACTTTGAAGAGAAGTTTGTCACTGTCGGGAGATCTGCACAGTAGAACGTCGAGGAAAGGAAGTTTGCCATCATTTTCGAGTTCAAGTGAAAATGATGGCAAACTTCCTTTCCTCGACGTTCTACTGTGCAGATCTCCCGACAGTGACAAACTTCTCTTCAAAGTGTATAGAAAACCTACCAACAAGGACGATCTTATACACTTTTATTCACACCAAGACACCCGCACTAAGAGAGGAGTCCTCATTGGCTTCTTCTTGAGAGCTCTTCGCATCTCCAGCCCTTGTTTTCTAGAAGAAGAATGCACTTACATAACACAAGCCTTTACACGTCTTCAGTTCCCATCTTTCTTCATCCGAGATTGCAGACTCAAGGCACAAGCTATCCTCCACAAACCGCCCATGGAACAGTCCCCTAAGCAGTTCATAGTACTCCCATGTGGCGATGTTGCCACGAATACTCGCAGGGCACTTACTATGAGTAACATCAACGTTTCCACCATAAACACATCATCTATCAAAGACCTCACTACGAAACGCAGCCCCACACCTCTAACTTCTACAGCAGGCGTTTTGTAGATGAATGGTTCAGAGAACCGACATGTTGATAAAATAGACACAAGTGCAACTCTTGAGTATCTTTATTGAGGAAACGTTTCGCCACACAGTGGCTTCATCAGTCCATACAAAGGAGACTCTTGAAGAACAGGAGGAGAATGAGGTAATCAGTCCCTCAACCTTGAGTCGATGTGGTCAGTCCATCAATCTTGAATAGAATACGGCATACGTGCTGAGAAGGAGCTTATAAACAGTTGGCAGGAGAGGTGAAGCAGTCATAGGTCGTGTAACATTTGTTCAATGTTGAAGTAGGTCGTGCCCAAGAATTAGGCAAGCGAAGAATTCCCAAGTATTAAGATCCCAAGAAGTTGCAGTGTCTGACAGGTTTGTAGATGAATGGTTCAGAGAACCGACATGTTGATAAAATAGACACAAGTGCAACTCTTGGGTATCTTTATTGAGGAAACGTTTCGCCACACAGTGGCTTCATCAGTCCATACAAAGGAGAATCTTGAAGAACAGGAGGAGAATGAGGTAATCAGTCCCTCAACCTTGAGTCGATGTGGTCAGTCTGATTACTGATTACTGATTACCTCATTCTCCTCCTGTTCTTCAAGATTCTCCTTTGTATGGACTGATGAAGCCACTGTGTGGCGAAACGTTTCCTCAATAAAGATACCCAAGAGTTGCACTTGTGTCTATTTTATCAGCATGCGTCTACGCTATCCCCTGTGGGTTCTGTCCCAAGAAATATGTAGGCGAGACAGGCAGAGATCTTGCAGTCCGCCTGAATGAGCATCAAAATTCCTCTAACAGAGACGATGTAAGGTACGCATGTGTCCTCCACAGAGACTCCACGTGGCATTTGATGAACTGGAATGAGGCACAACTCGTTCTCACCGAACCAGACCTCAGACGCCGACGGTGCCTAGAAGCCTCACTAATCGCCGTCACCGACACTATAGAACGCAACACTGGAAACTACAAAATTTCAAAAACATTGGCATACATGATACTTAAGCAACACCAACCCAACAACACAGGAGTCACGTGATTTCATCGTCTGCCGTCCTCATCATGGGCGGAGGTTGTTTTTGATGGGGACCTGCCTCGCATGGGCCAGTAGGCCTTCTACAGTGTTCCTCCATTCTTATGTTCTTATGACATTCCTCAGGTCACGTGCGTCACACCTCACTCTCCGCCTATATATAATGTCTTCCTACCTCTGTATGTTAGAGTGATCAAGGTCCCAGGACCGAAACGTTTTCTAATAAATATGTTATAGTGTTTGCTTACGTGTCTTTCTAAACCAACTTGTCGGTATTTATTACCAAGGTTTATACCACATATATATATATATATATATATTATATATATATATATATATTATTTTATATATTTTATATATATATATTTATATATATGCAATAAGATCACAGTAAACAGGTGATTTCAAAATATGCAAAACAACCACTCTGAAAGAATAGAGAAATTCCAAGCGCTTTCGTGACTACTCACATTATCAAGGATAATGTGAGTAGTCACGAAAGCGCTTGGAATTTCTCTATTCTTTCAGAGTGGTTGTTTTGCATATATATATATATATATATATATATATATATATATATTATATTTTATATATATATATTATATATTATATATATATATATATATATATATATATATATATACCACCTCTACAGCTGGAAAGGGGAGCCTCATCCTCAGAGAAGACAATAAACGTACCTCAGGAAAAACTCAAGGTTCTCCCCCGGAACTGTTTGAATATTTTCTTCTCCTACCACCCCCTATATTTTATATTCTATGTGAATATTTATTAATTTACAGAAAGCACAAACATGAATACAATGGTACAATGTGTTAAAGGTCATGAATTTCCTCCAGTTCCTCCGAAGCCGGAGGTGAGCCAAGTATGCAGCAAGCATTTCCCCTCTGGATGGCCATGCTGAGGCGCTGGAACATGAAAGTGGCTGCCCTTGGGTCCCTGGTGGTGTCGATGAGTCTGGAACCCAATTCTTTAAGGAAACGTGTGGCATTTTTTCCCCATGATCCCAAGGTCTCTGATCCCACTGGGACAAATTGATACTGTTGGCTAATGTCCCTGTACTTGCTGATCTTGTACTCCTCCCTGTGGTCAGCAGCTCCTCCCTGTCGCCCCACACTGTGATGGATATAGGTGTCAGCCAGTGTGGACACACAGGTATAGTCCCATGCTAAGAGCTTGCCATTCTTCCAAGGATAGATGGTGAACCCATCAGGGCGGTTTGCTGAGTTGTGGGTATTGTTGGCTGCTAGTGATCGGGGCTCCCTCTCAGCTGGGCATCCAGCTGTAGCAAGGGTTCTCTTGATGATGTCGTTGACCTCATTGTGTCTTGCATGCCAACCCTTGGTTTTGGAACAGTTAAGACCACGTAGACCGTATTGGTCTGCTTGCGCTTCGCCACAAATACACGTATATTCTGTGTGAATTGGGGCAGCAAGACTCAGAGCCACTGCAATACGGAGGGTCTAAAGGGTCGAGTCGCGTTCTCATATATATATATATATATATATATATATATATATATTATATATTATACATATATATATATATATATATATATATATATATATATATATATATATATATATATATATATATATATATATATATATATATATTATATATATATATATATATATATATATTATATATTGAAGCGACTCATATTTATTCCCACATGCTGAACCTACTATAAAATCCTTAGCAATAATTTTAATTATTTCGTATTTTTTGTGTGCAGACAAAAGGTAAAAGATATAAATTAATATTATTGAATGTTCCTGAACACTAATGCTAATTATTATTATTATTATTATTATTATTATTATTATTATTATATTATTATTTATTATT